CTTCTTTTTTATTTGAACCATGTTCTGATAAATCATCGACATTTTTAGCAACTTTATATAGGTGAATCGAATTCTGTACAAATGCCTTCAACTTTCTCATATATTTAGCAGTAGCTGATTGCTACATTTGGGTACCTTTTAGGTGCATGCAAAAGGGCGCAGCATCGTAGCGCGACGCGTAACTTAGCACTCATGGCGTTTAACGTATTTTTTCCTCAAAAGATCAACTGCAACTAAACCTTTTTTGACAATGCATCAAGGACAAAGCTTCACTTTATTGGCTCACAAAAGAATTAGACCGAAATCTTTCATTAACTGCCGTTAAAGTCGACCACGCTCTTACTTGACCGACTGTATATGAGGATATGTGAGTGTTTTTTACTTATAGGTAGGTGTATGTTTGTGTGATGTGTATATGGTTGTGTGTATGTATGCATATTGTGTATATTATGGGCACATAGGTTTTGGTTTATGTGACGTTTTGTACTGTGGATATACGTTTGTGTATATGAAATGTATATATATGTACATACATTTTTAATTATAACAATTATAACAAATCTATAAACAAACCATCTCATCATAGAATATTTTTTCTCCTAACGACATCTATTTTTCAACTACCCTAATCCTTTCGTTCCTATCAGATTGCGTGACTTTACAATTTCAAGTGGTTTTCAAGTGGGAGAGAATACGAACACCGACGACCGTTGGTATTAAGAGATCAGATCGCAGTGAACGACTTGCAATGAAAAACACAAAATGCTAATTTAGATTTCCATATTTTAAAATTTTTTAATTATAACACACTGATGATGAGACAAACCTAGTCTCGAAACGTTAGTGAAAATTATTATTTAATAAATTAGTGCAAGAAGAGTGTTGTTTGTTCATATTTCCAAAATTAATATATATATATATATATATATATATATATATAAAGTTATGTTCAAATGCAATATTATAAAATATGTTTTGCCATTGATAAAAAATAAAACAGTAACAATATAATACAAATATTATTATTAAATACAATATTAGCTGCAGTTATATTTAAATTATTATTTTCGAAAATAATTATATAAAAATAAATTTGGGCTTGACAAAATATTGTCGATAATAATCTTTTGAATGTTTATATTGGGTCGCCTATATCCACACAAGTCTCCTTTGCCTATTATCTTATATATAAAAATGGAGCTCTCTTTCAAATGTCCGAATAAAACTCGAAAACGGCTGAATCGATTTGGCCAGTCTTAGTCTTGAAAAATTCGTGCCAATTCACAGAAAGTCCAAAAGGTGAGAAATTATTTCAAATCCGCGTAGAAACTTTACATTTTCAATTTGAAATTTTTTGTAGAAGCGTAATTTAACTAAAACAATGGACGGTGGCAATTACGTGAAATGTCAAACGCTTTTGACAGATGATGTTCAATTACGTTTAATAGGATGATTTACGCGAATATTATTTATTTATGATAAATTTGTAGTAAGTAGTTTTGTTTGTAGTTCTATTTATATACAAAAACGTTAGTAAATGGGCTGCAAGTGTTACTAGAGACTCAAAATATAAACTTTTTTGATATGTTAATATGAAAATGCACTTTTTGGCATATTTCTCTCAAACACGGTGCTCTGAAAGATCTCATTTGTATAATTATATACTCATTGGTATTTATAAAACATTTTCTAGGTTATATTATTTTTTATTCATCTTATTTAAATTCAGAACCTAAATTTGGTATCGATCAAATGGACATTTTGTCGAATAACATGTTTTCAGTTATAATTTCCAGAATTTATCGCAGAATAGATAGTAAATATGAAGGTCCGGGATTAAAAAGGTCCACCACCGATGTGCCAAAAATCAGTAAAGTTAAGCATTGTTTAACAACATATTTGAAAGTAGAGGAAAAAAAGATGTATAGCCAGCTACAAACTTGATTTGAAAACGATAATCTTTGAATTGGGGGAGATAAACGGTAATCTTTGAAAATCCATAATAAATGTATTTCTTCCGTTGGTAGTTTTAGCATTAGTTAAAAATGTAATTATTTTGTAAAATACCTTTAAAATTATAATAAGGCTTTAAACCTTTTGCACCTGCCCGTTACAAGTTACCCCGCATATAGGATAAAAAGGTCTAGATAACAAATTTTTGGAAGACATCAAAAAAGCACATTTCTATAATGGTGAAATAGAAGTCAGTTTACTGAACGTAGTCAGATAATTGTTCGTTTGATATGTTTTATTTGTTGTGATATAATTGTTATGGTTTTCACAATATAGTTCATATTTGCTCAAACAAATTGGACCTTTGTGTCTCGCTCTGCTCTACATATATACTTTTTATTAAATTTACTTTAATTCAACGAATGTAACTTGAAACTTTTCAAAAAGCAGGTCAAAGAAGAAATACTTAATTCATTTTTTGTCTCTCCTCGCAAAAATTTGAAAATTTTGTATAAGCTCAGTAGTATTATTTACAATAATACACAAAATCCAGAATCCAAAAAGAATATGAAAAAACTTGAAACGTAATTAATAAGCCGAAAGACCAAAAAAGACTCGGATTGAATATACGATGTTTTCTATAGGAAGTGAATTAAACTTGCAGTTTGATTTCTATAGGAAGTGAATTAAACTTGCAGTTTGATTGTATTGACAAATATAGACAAAACTAATGGGGTTTATTGTTTTATAATACCTAATTGTATACAGCATTCAAACAACACATCCTTATGCACTTAAAGTATTAATATTTTGATTCTCTAGAAATGGTTTAGAATATACCTTATTTAGCAAAACACGTTTGCCGGGTCAGCTAGTAGTATATATATATATATATAATATAATATATATATATATATAGAAGGTAAGGTGTCCTGTCTCACTGTCGATGGAACGTCCTGTCGATGGAATGTGCCTGAAGATGGAACGTACCTAGTTCCGAAACGTCGACAATAAACAAATAATTAAATAAAGAAATTGGTTTTTTTAAAAACTTTTCTTGTTTTTTTATTTTTATATTTTTGGATTTGTTTCGAAACTCTTAACTCTACAAAATATTATATACATATATATATATGAATGAATATATGTTGTACATGTATATGTAATGTATATGTTACGGTAAATGTGCACTCTTGGTGAATGTGCACATTCACCGGTGAATGTGCACATTCACCGGTGACTGTGCACATTCCCTAAACGATGGGTGAATGTGGAGTTCTCAAACAATCAATTTAAATAATGGTGTACGTGTGTACTTGGATCGGTCTCATGAACATCTTGCGTATTTGGCGCATGCGCACTAAATAGTTGATCAGTTAATAGTTAATAGTAAATAGTTGAATAGTAAAGTAGTAATATAGTGTATAATGAATAATTAATATTAAATAGTGAATAGTTAATTGTTAGTAAAATAGTAAATGGTGAATTTAGAACAGTTAAATAGTGAATAGTGAATAGACAAATAGTGAATAGTTAATAGTTAAATAGTTATAGGTAAATAGTTAATAGTTTAAGTACCTAGTTAATTGTTAAAACGTAAGTAGTTAAATAATAAATAGTTAAATAGTTAATGGTGAATAGTAAATAGTAAATAGTTATTAGTGAATAGTGAATAGTGATAACTAAATAGTTTAACAGTTAATAGTTAAATAGATGAATTGTGAATAGTCAATAGTTAATAGTAAATAGTGCATGGTGTTAACTGAATAGTCAAATAGTAAATAGTGAATAGTTATTAGTAAATAGTGCACTAAGAATAGTTGAATTGTGGATAGTAAAATAGTGAATAGTTAATAGTTAATAGGTAAATAGTTGAATTGTAAAATAGTGAATAGTGAATAGTGATAACCGAAGAGTAAATAGTAGATAGTGAATAGTGATAACTGAATAGTTAATACTAAATAGTGATAGTGATAACTGAATAGTTAATAGTGAATAAAGAATAGTGAATAGTTAATAGTTAATAGTAATAATTTGAATAGTAAAATAGTGAATAGTGATAACTGAATTGTCAATAGTAAATAGTGAATAGTGATAACTGTATAGTTAATAGTAAATAGTGAATAGTGATAATTGAATAGTTAATAGTAATAAAGAATAATGAATAGTTAATAGTTAATAGTAAATAGTTAATAGTTCAGATACCTACTAGAAGAAAAGATCATTGTATACAGAATTTGTTGAAATTACATGAACAATATAAGATTATCAAAAAAAGTGTAAAAAGAGACACAAAGAAAAACTAAGAAGGACGAATTTAAATTATCATGTTGAATTTGTTCGACATTGCTCATGCGAATGTGGAAAAATCGTTAACGAACCTATAATGCATTTTTTAAATGAGCAACGAAAGATGTATAATAGGTTTCATAGCTAATATTGAGTCTGATGATAATGAAAAGTATAAAAATGAATGGATGAACTACTACAGCTACGGCGGGAAAAATCGAGAGAGAAAAAAGCTCAATACGGTAAAGTTGATTTTAAAATAATTTATAAATTATTGTACCTTAATTTTAATCATAAATTTTTATTTTATACATTTCATGTTAATTGAATAGAGCTACGTCGGGAATAATCCGAGAGAGACAAAGCTCAATACGGTAAAGTTCATTTTAAAATATTTATAAAAATGTTGAACCTTAATTTTAATCATACCATTTTTATTTCTATACATTTATGTAATTGACAATGGGTGTTGACTTTGTGGAATTTCACGTCAAGCAGTGAAGTGGAAGGTGCAATTCCGTTGAGTCAGAAAAACAAAATCATCTATATCAAATTTTTCTGATGAACTGGTAGTTCCTCAGCACCAAGAAACCGATACAATCTCGTGGAACAATAAATATCATAGATGATAAATTAGCAGCAATTTTGGATTATTGTAAAATAGCGACCGGAATGCTGTACGTTTATGGCTTTATGTTCATCATTAAATATTGATGTAAATCCGTTAATAGTAATAAAACCTCTATACACCGAAATAGAGAAAAAATACGTGAAAAAAAGTCGAACAAATCAAAGAACCGTTTAAAAATGAGGACTTGAATGCTAGTGTTCTACACTGGGATGGAATTTTTTTAAAAACTTCAAGCGAGAAATAAAGAAAGACTGCTCAATTGAGTGTGGACAAATAGAAAAAATATTAGCGATCCCAGTATTAGATGATGGTATAGGACAGTCTCAAGTATGCAATGTTTGACGCTATTAAGATTGGGGTATTTCAGACAATATCAAAGCTCTTTGCTGTGATACTACTTCCAAATAAAAAAAAATGATTCTCTGAAAATTTTATCTCTTTTTATAAACATTTAGATAGAGCGCACAATGAAAATTACTTGCATATATTTGTTACTAAGATTTGTTTAAGAAGTGTCAATCGGTAATTTCGTGCGTCATCTGTGATCATGATCGTTAACTCAAATCTTATGATACATAAGAATATTTATAAACCACATAACATGCACATAACCTCTTATTAAATACATGTGAGCTGTTCTATAAATCTATTCATCATGGCATCAAGAATAATTTTGCAGCAAAATATTTATTTAATTGGTGATGTTGATACTCAAATTGTCAGTAATAAATTACCATCAAAGTTACAAGCGCTAATACAAACGTATGGAATAAATAAAAATGTTTTAAAGTCATACAATTTTTTTTAATTGATGTATTGCCCTGAAAACTGAATATCATATATATATATATATATTTATTATATATAACAAACATACACATGTACATATATACATATACACACACATTATATATAATATATATATTAGAGATGGTCAACTGATCTGATCAACACAACTGAAGATAATTAACATAATGCAAAGGAAGATCATAAAAATTGAGAAAATCGCCAATATATCAATCGTAAATATCAACGATAAAAAAAATTTGCCGACAAAATCCTGAAATACGTGTCAAATGATTTATCTATAATATCTATAAAAAAAATTTCAGCCAATTCTAAAATGTCACATTTTTTTTACCAAAATCCTCCCGATTTGTAAAGAATGACCCATATCACTTGGATTTTTCTACCCAAAATAATGCTTCAATAATGTTGCCTACAATTATTTATAATTTCGTACCATATTTAAACTGGCTTTTAGTATTTCAATATCTAAATTGCATTTTCACACTAATAAGTCAATATACATTATTACTCAATTTCATATTTGAAGTGAATTAATTTGTCAAATTTTGTTCACA